AACATCATGGGTGGCGTGTTGAATTAGAATGCCTTCCCACACCCCACACAGGGCCAAACCCCACCGCAATTCTCCCACCATAATCCTCCGGCTGGGAATGGTGGGGGAGAACGAGAGAGGACAGGTTACAGGAGGCTAGATAGGAGCGAGAAGGAGGAGAAGAGAACGGATCTCGTCGACAGACGGCGCTGCGGTCGCATTCCACTCCGTGCACCGTACAGCTCGGTCGAGAGCTGCTACTATTTTCCTGGATTTCGTTCGGTGTGCTTCGTTTCCGTTTCGTGTACCGTATATTTCGTATCACGGAGAAGGATCGATCGACAACCAAAACGCGTACATATACGCGAAACTGTGCCCCGGGACGCGCGAAATATATCGCTTTCTTTTCCGTTTATCCCGTCTGTGTCTCGTTTGATCGTAGTTTCGTGCAGTGATTGGCTTAACAAGTGCAAAACCAAATGGTTGTTCTCGAGGAAGGCGGTATGCTGACCACTGGACATAATCAATATTTACAACCGGATTATCTTTCTCCGCTTCCAACCACGGTCAGTATATTTCGAATTCGTATTCCTTTCGATTCTCAACGTTTTTTCAACGTTTTTAGCCGAGTAAATTACGCGTTCGAGAATAAAAGAGGAAGAGAGAGAGAGAGAGAGAGATAACGTTTCCTCGTAGATCATTTCTTTTCCTCGCTTATTTTCTCGCGAAAACGATAAAAAGGACGAGTTTCTCTTCGAAAATATCGGCAGAGGGAGCGAGGAACGGGGAAAAAAAGAACGAATCGTTCGCTCGGTTTACGGGATTAGGTAGCGACGGTACGCGTTGTCCGACGGGTTGCTGTACGCCTTACGCGTTCGTTCGTATATCTTCGTCGCGTGTTCCAATCAAATTTCTATTCCTATCTACGAAACGTCTCAACGTTTTATCGCCGTATTTGTGCAGTAACGTGTTGCTCAACTTTATTTTACAGTTGGATGCGAAGAAGAGTCCTTTAGCTTTATTGGCTCAAACATGCAGTCAAATAGGTGCCGATTCTCCGACAAAGCCTTTGATTTCCCCGCTGGATAAAACGTCCAAAGGCATGAATACCGGTACGAATGCGAAATCTCCACCGGCCGCCAAGTTGGAACGGAGTACACGCAGCAGCCCGTCGGACGGGAAGTCGTTGGCGTTTAAACCTTACGAGACTAACGTCGTCTCGAAGAAGTCGTCCTCCGACGAGAGTAGACCTGCTTCCAAAGCGAGTGTTCACAGTGTCAGTGGTCAAGAGAGTTGTGGTGTGAGTGCGAGTGATAACGGGAATCACGCGGAGAAAAAGTCATCGGGAAATCGTACGCCCGTCGGTCGGAAGTCGGCCTCGCCCGCGAGTCAAGCGACGGCCACGGCGAGCACCACACCGTCCATCGTCGATCGCAAGACGCCGGCGGATCGAGAGAAAACCGACGGATCGCCTCGTAGCAACAACAACAACAACAACAACAACAACAACAACAACAACAATGNNNAACGAGCCCGATCATTAGATCCGGTATGGAGATACTTTCCGGCGGCCACGCCAAGGATACCAATTTGGCCGCGTACAAGCCCGGCACTCTCGCAGGATTCTCGGGAAATCCGTTGTGCTGTCCACCCGGATTGGCGGAAAATCCGGCTTTCAGACCGCCGTTCGCCGGCGCGTCGCCTTTCTCGCATCATCACGCCGCCGCGGCCGCCCTCCTCGGTTATCCGTCGAGCACCCCCACGGGCGGAAATCCGTATCTGAGCTACGCCCGCGTGAAGACGCCCGCCGGTGGAGAGGCTTTGGTCCCGGTGTGCAAGGATCCTTACTGCACCGGTTGCCAATACAGTATGCACAGCGCGCAATTGATGATGGGCACAGGAAGCTGCCCGAGCGGATGCACGCAATGCGACCATCAGAAATACGGTCTCGCGATGGCGTTGTCGTCGTTCGGCCCCATGGCACCCCCGTCGCTCTCCTACCCGTCCACGTTGACCGGGGGCAGGCCGTACGTCTGCAATTGGATCGCTGGCGATTCTTACTGCGGGAAACGGTTCACCACCTCGGAGGAACTTCTCCAACATCTTCGCAGCCACACCAGTTTGACCGGTGGCGATCACGCGTCCTCTTCGGCGGCTCTTCTCGCCAATCCGCACCCGCATCCTTTGCTCTCGCCGTCGGCAGCTCTCCACCGCGCGAGCGCCGCCGCCACTTATCCGACGCCTTCGCTCAGCCCCCTCGGCGCTAGATACCATCCGTACGGGAAACCGCCGACGGGGCCTCTTCCAGCCTCGTTAGCCGCCTCGCCTTACAGCGCGTTCAACGCGCTTGGACCCTACTACTCCCCGTACGCGATCTACGGGCAAAGGATCGGCGCCGCCGTACACCCTTGAATCGTGGATACCCGTGAATCGTGTCGAACGTTCTCAGTGTACGGTCCATCGTTGGTGTAAACGTAGCGCGACGAACAGATGCGACCACCGCTGCTCTTGTTGCTGTTGTGTAAATAATAATTCGACGTGTATCATAGAAATTTATTTAAAGAGATACCTATGTGTGCATACATATATATATGTATATATATATATGTATTACGTATATGTATATATGTGTGTGCGTGCGTGCGCGTGCGTGTGCGTGTGTATAAATTCAAGATTACAGATTCGAGTTTCTAAAGATATCTCGCGTGACAGTTTTTTGACAGTTTCATCGTGGAAAATCATCGTTGTTCGCGCAAAAATCTATATCGACGTATATCTCCCGACGTTTTGATCGTTACGTAGGAAAGAACATGTACACCGGATGAAACGTATCGAAAACGAGAGGAGGGATGGCCTCCTATATTTGTCATATTGGCGCGTATATTTCGATGTCCCTTTCGCGACGATTTGCGCCCTCGACGAAGAAGAGAACGTCGTCGAAATTTTCCTTTTTTTTTTCTCTCTTTTTCTTCTTCTTCTTCTTCTTCTTCTTCTTCTTCTTCTCGCACCACACGACGCAGGTAACCGCGGCGTGAAACGGGAAACGTTTCGTTTCTTAACCACGAGAGAGAATTGTTGTTTCGCGAGAATGGACACGATGAAAAATATTGCTAATCATCCCCGCTTTCTTCGACGATAAAACGCGTTCGATGTCGCGTGTCTTGAAACGGTCGTGCATGTTCTGATGTCCACAATATAACTGTGATATTACGCTATTTTTTCGAGAGAGGAAAAAAAAAAAAAAATTAATAGGAGATAAAATATTAACGATCGTATCTAACGCTGTATCTATA